TGTCCGTCATATAAAGTCTCTGGCCTCAATATTTTTGGTCACTAACCTGCAAGTATGCAGATAAGAACTTCTGATTTTATTCTGACTTGCCTAAACTGTAGATTTTCCCAGGTGATCATTAAATCAGCTAGACAAGCATTTTAAAAATGAGGTGGACAGAATTGGCAGGCTCCATATTCTGTCATGAGAGATTTACTTTATGGCCTCAATTGTAAATGTCAAGAAAAAAGTGGAGGTATTGCCAATGAGTATAATTGCATTTTGTAAGCTGTATTATAAAAACAATCAAATCAGCCAAAATCTGACTGGCTGTTATGGGCAAACTACCTTTCTTTTTCTCCAGCTTATGTATGTGTGGTCTTTATGTTTTAAAGGGTTGCAAGACAAATATTCACTTTCCTTGATCTAAACAAATGCAGGCTTGTAGCACTATTGAGAACCTGTATTCGATTACCACATTTGTCAGCTCAGTTTTAGTAAAGTGCGCCATTTATATGTTAATGTAATGTACCAAAATAAAATTCCTGTAAATGGTGTCTAAATCAGGGCCTGAACCAAGTCTTCTTAGGTGCCTTTCGCACAGGGGGATTCCGTCTGCGATCTGCTTGCTCTGCAGGAGATCTGTCAGCTGATCCCTGCTGAGCAGGAAGATGACAGGTCTGTGTCCATCCTTGCAGAGCGGACACGGACACAGCCTGTTCTCCTCTATGGGCGGTTGGATGTCTACGGACTGCCTGTGTTTGCACCCGACTGCCAGCTGATCTGATCTGGCCAGACAGAAGGGATTGGATCTCCATCCGTTTGCTTTTAGTGGATCGGAGTGGATGTAGGCAGGTGTAAACAGACACATGTCCGTTTACACCAGCTGCTGCATAAAAGGAAAATGGAGTTTCCAACAGGCGGATCTGATAGGAATGTTTGTGTGAAAGGGGCCTTATGGGGCTTCACAGAATATGGTCATACATATTAAAGATTTTTTTTGGACTGGTCAGATTTTTGGAATGGTCAGATTGAGTGTAAAGTTGGGTACACACTGGCCAAAAATCAGCTGGAAACAGTCGGTTCAGCAGGAACCAACTGCCTTTCAGCCTTTGTGTACAGCTGTCTGTTCTGCAGAAGCTGTTCACACAACTGTCTTCTGTCAAATGGGCATGCTTGAAAACCAGCATCTGATCAGCACTGATAGTGTCCTGACGGAAAGGGGGGGCCCCTTGTCAGAATACAAAGGCGCAGAGGGGGAGATTGCTGCACTAACATTGCTTGTGTGTTAGTAGAACGATCTTTCTTTTTTTTTTTTTGTTCAGCCCGTTGGGTTGAACGAAAAAAAAAAAAGATTCTACTGTGTACCTAGCTTAACAAAAGGAAAAAGAACTCTTATTTTCCTTAGAGGTGGGATGATTTTTCTTAGCTGTAGGCCAAGGCCTTTTTGCTGGAACAGAAGAGTACTCTTACCTCTAGTAACATCCTTTAGGTGCCTAGGCTGCCCCAGAATTGTTAGCGGATTGTGAGCCAGAAAGTTCCAATTCGGAGGAACTGCTGCTCTTAAGTTTGCGATCCCATATATTGCACCTCAAAAGGAAACAACTTAGCTCTAAAACAGATAAAAACCTTGATTAATTATGAACCAACTGCTGAAGTAGATGTATAAGGCCTCATTCGCACCATGGTGCAGAGATGTGAGTTTTTTCTGCACACGTTCTGCAAGGGCACAAAGAAAATAATTGTTCTCTATGTGCCCTGTCTACAACACTACACTGGTATCAGTGCGCAGGAATCTACAATGTGCATAAAACTCACTGAAACGCCCATGAAAACAGATATAAACATACGTCTCTGCAAGTGAAATCTGCACGGTTTTCCCATCAGTTTTTATGCATGTAAGGTGTTAATGAGGCCTAAATGGTCAGAAAAGATCAGGTCACTGGAGGTAGCAGCAAGGACTAAAACTACTTGTCTCTTGCAATAAGGAGCAACGTCAGGAAAACAGCGCAGAGTGTGTGCACATGTGCCACTCCGGCAAGTGATGCAACACTTAATTCCTTGGTGTTTTAACCCTTTTTGGAAAGAACAGAAAAAGGAGCTAGCATGTTACCAAACAGTTTTAATAAATCAAAGGAGCTCCTGGTGCTTAGCCGACATGGCATACTCACTAAACAAGCCTTCAAAGACTGGTTCACACCAAAGGCTGTGCCACAGCTCTGGACCTTGAAAGAACTCTGTGACTAACAGCGCATAGAAAAAATATCCAAGCCAAGATATGCCAATCTAGATAGCTGGATAATGGACCAGATCAAGCAGCATGTAAAATAAGTAATGATTGGAGGAAAAAAAAAAAAAAAAAAAACTTTAACAAAAGTAAAACAAATGGCTATAAAAACCCAAAATGTTTCTCAATAGCAAAAAGGCTTTCTTCCTCTTAGGGCATTAGAGAAAATCTGGAGGTATGCCATGAATGGGAGGGGTTATACTGGGCTGGTCACTATTTTTTGCAAGTGTCCAAATGCTCCTATAGCTGGCAGTATAACCCAACTGTCTCTGAATCATGTGTACCTCAAAGAACGAAAGTGTATCTTATTTCAGCAGCACTCTATAGAGGATGGAATGGAGAGGATGTTATCATCCTTGCAACTGAGTCTATTTCTTACACTGCCTCCAACCACGCCAAAGGACTCCATATTAATCTTTTCAATTACAAGTACAGAAATAATACAACTAATCTACAATATCTCCTCAGTGACCTTAAAGTGGTTCTAAAAGCAGAAGGTTCTTTACCTTCATGTATTATATGCATGAAGGTTTAAAAACCGATGTGCAAGAACTGCTCCCCCCCCCCCTACTTACATGAGCCCGATCTTGATCTCGAACCAGTGATGTACATGACAGCATAGGCTCTCCTAGCTCTATTTACTTGGCTCAGACACAGCCAAGCCAAGCCAAGCTGGGGGGACACACAGAGCCTGCTCAGGAGCAAGCAAACAGAAGTGCCCCCATAGCAAGCGGCTTGCTATGGGAGCACTTGGTGGGGAAGAGGGGTCAGGAGTGCCATCGGGGGACCTGAGAAGAGTAGAATTGGGGCTGCTCTGTGCAGAAGCATTGTTTGTTCAGGTTTGTTCTTTTTTAATTTTTTTAAATATTTCCTTTACAAGCATGCTATTTTCCTTTTATTTAAATGAGAGGTGGTAAATGATATGATGGTCTGCAAATGGTCATCTCTCATTTTCCCCTATACAGCTGTAAAAATGGATATTAAAAAAGTAGCTAGTAAAAATTAATTGTACTTAGAATTTGATTGTAAAAATGATGTTAAACCCAAAACCAAAAATGTAATATATTGCAGCTCACCATTCATTAGATGTGGTGGCTATATGAACCTTCGTATCCTAGGCTTTTTTGTTTCTGGTGATCTGGCCAGTAACACACATCCGACATTGGTGAGACACAACTCTGGAGGTATGACCACAGGAGGCACAGCAGACAGTAGCACTGTCAATCTGGGGGGGGCAATGGTAAATGCACCAGCAGATTTTAATACAGTAACAAATTGAGCCAAACTCCAGCTAACACTTTATAACCAGTTACAGCAATAGTTTTTCTCCTTTGGGATAAAGGTTTTACACTAATAAAGCTAATCACGTTAAATCACTCCTATCAGTGTTAAATGGTCTGTCTCATCCATGTAAACTGATACATTCTGCTGAAGAGTTGTGCTTCGAAAAAATAACAGACTTGCTAGCTGGATCACCAGAAGAAAATAGAAGAAAGAAAGCCTAAAAAAAGAAACTAATACAGCCATCACATCTAAGAACTGTTAAGCTGTAATACAATAAAGGTTTGCTTTTGGGTTTAATACTGCTTTAAAAGGGCTAGCCAAGAATCCTGTGAAGGAATGTCAGACGACTGCCAGTTAGGCGCTACTGTTCTAGACATACAACTCCAATCTGTGCAAAGTGACTGCAAACCTGACTTTATTTCCAAATTAGAAGGAACACAGGCTTGTACTGTAATGTTAATAGTTTAAAATCTCTGGCGATCTAATTTATAAATATGTCCGAAGATGTGATGAACAGCAAAGTCTTAAGAACATTCTGTTCTCACACTGCACAATTACAGTGCTTCTGAACTATGCCCAAACTAAGTTATAAATAACAATGAGTAATCCTGCTTGACGGCAAACAGGTCTGAATTTGGGGAGTTCTGTACAGTTTCTCGGGTGTGTCTAGGAAAGTATTAACTAACCTTCATATACAGTATTTATGAAATTAGGGAAGAACTATCCCCTCCTCTTTGGCATTTTCCGACATGTCAATGAGCTCAGCTCAAAGCACTACATTACACAGTGTTGTCCAAGTGTAGTTCAAAGCATGATCAGTAGAAAAAAAAATGGATGTTCATTCTTTTTTGGCAAAAAACTGTGATGACTTAACCAGACCTTTCTAAAACAGTAATCAGTTTAAAGGATAAAATATATTGATTTTTACACTTGACTACAGAGGAGCAGCACTCTGATTGTCAAATGACAAGGCCCTTGGGCTTACTAATGCATTTGGAACGCTTATCCAGGGTTAGTTCCATTTCTTGTTGAAGGTGAAATACCATTAGGCAAATGTTCCCTGTCATATGAAGTCTTCAGCAGTAGAGCTATTTCAAACTGAAACAATATTTACAAATGTATCATGACATTTCATTGGCAGGAGGACATAAAAAAATTAAACCAGTGGGTTAACCACAAAATAATAAATACATATTTAGAGTCTACTGTAGCTATATTTCTTAGTGTGATACCGACTTGGTATCCTATACGACACCAAAAGAGTGCAGGTGTATATCCGGTGGTATGTCACTGAATGCCATAAAACTCACTCATCAAAGCTGCAGGTGAGCCACTAATGATTTTGGGGAAGAAATGGTTGTTTCTTCTAGTAAGGCTAAGTGGCAATTTGTTAACATCTTCTCTATAAGGTGCTCCAAGTGTCTATTAGTGATATGCATAGATTTCCTATCTAGACATGGCTTTCATAGATAATACACGTAGTAGGGTTATCTGGGGGAGGTTCAGTTATTTCAGAAGTCTGAGTACATTCTATTGATGTAGAGTCATCTTTTACACTTGATGGTATACTGTCCTGTGATTCTGTATCTAAACACTGTTTCTTGCCCATAGGATGTACAGACACTGTTATAGCAATTTGCCGAGGAGGCTCATGTAGAGAGGAGGCATCTGACTCAGCTGTTGGAGAATCACTCCGCTGCAAAGCATTGGGGATGGTGAAGACTTCATCCACATCACAAACTTCCTGGCCAACAGCTCCCTGTCTTACAAATATATGCCCTGGTTCATCCAGGCCAACAACCTCCATGATCTCTTCCATTATAGTCCTACAGTTCATAATAAGCGGGGGTAAAGGAACACTTCTGGCCAGTTCCTCAATGTATCTTGCAAACTCCATTGTTTTAAATTGAGTGACTTTGGCAAGCTCGAGTGTCTTGGCAGAAGTGATGATGGGGATTCTTTTTTGCAATCTCAAAAGCCTTTTGCAATTTCTCTGCACCTTCTGTCCTGAAGAAATCATTAATGGCTTTCTCTGTCTTCTTCAAATGACTGCTCATCATACACAATCTTGTTATATTCAGAACCATCACTATGGTAAATGCCACCAGGCAGACAATCATGTAGTAGATTCCCATGTCACCAGAGGTAAAAATGACTCTCAGAGTAACTGTATTGTTTACAGTGCCATGCGCATTGGTAGCGACACAAGTGTATTTTCCTCTATCCTCGAAAGATACACTGGTGATATTTAAAAGTCCACTATCAAGAATCCACCATTTTCCAGCTAAGGGAAAAAAAAAAAAAAAAACAATAGGAGATTAATACACTGTCAGTTGTTAATAAAACTGTATACTTGCTTGTATTCCACCTGCTGAAACAAGTAGTAACAAAATAGTAACAACAAAGTATAAACAGCAATATGTGAAAATGAAAGTAAATGTGACAATAAGTCACAGTGTGTATGCACTAAAACTATACTATTAATCACAATACATAAAAATAGAAAAAAATAGTTTGAGTCATCATAGCATCATACAAGCCTTTTCTTGACGACAGACACAGGATGAGAACATAGGGACATAGTGTTATAATGCTGCTTTCTACAGATTTGGACACCAGTAAAACAAAGCTGTAAGAACAACCCAGTAAACCCCTCTAGCTACCAGCATGCTTTGTAGTTTATTAGCAAATAGTAGGAGTGGATCATAGGAGCAGAGAGAAGGGTCCTGTGCGCTGTAATGTACTCCAAGAAAAGAATTTTATGGAAAGTCAAAAACCCTATTTTCTTAGTTGTACATTATGGGTGTGGGATGACAATTCAGATATATAGAGATGCACAAAACCAACAGGTTAGAAGAGGTGGATCAACAGAGTCGCACAAAGAACCAAAACAACTGGAGCTGGCAAAAGCTGAGGCCTGAACATCTAACCAGTAAAACTTAAAGAACATGGAAGCAGAAGACCAAGTGGCAGCCTTGTCAATCTGAGAAACCGATGCCATGAAAAGCCCATCCTGATCTACTGGAGTGCATATGGACTAGTAATAGGGGAAACCCAGGCCTTGAGGTCATAAACTTGAATGATGAGCTGCTGAATTCACCTAGCGATACTGGAAGGAAAAGCATTCAGTGTCAAAATTGAGATGTAGCTGAGAGATAAACTTAAACAGCAGGGACTTCATCCAGATAACTGAGTTTAGGACCAGAACAGAGAGAAGGTAAAACAATGCCACATTGGGAAGAAAAAAGACCCTGTGTTTTAAAACAACCTTTTAATTTATCACAAGAAAGGGTTCTTTACAGGTTAAGGTCGCAATTCAGAAGCTCACATTGCAAAACTGACATCGACAAGAAAGGCAACCTTACGAGTAAAGAGGCAACCTTACGAGTAAAGATAGACAGCAGAGTATCCTGAATCAGCTTGCGAAGGCTAGAGGATCCCAGGATCTGGAGAGGAGTAGAGGATTTCACATATGAGATTTTACCTTTTTTTTTTTTTTTTCTTGAGTACTCTTCACCTTGGATGTCTCTTAATGACATCCTCCATGAACTCAAGAGGAGTTTCCCATCAAATGACGAGGTGCTTCTCACACTGATGCTCCACAGTAATAACATTCTGAGGCAGTGTGCGGATGGGTGCCATTTTGCTGTAGTTCTATTCTGGATTTATGGTATACAATATTTGGTAACCCATTAACTGAATATAGAGTAGGGCCAGAGGCAAGAACTCTAGTTGATGGTGGACAGAAAGATTCTTCAGGACAAATCCAGGATCTCCGCACAGAACCTTGGACTAGAACATTAAGGTCTGCCATATGTACAGTCGCAATAGCAGGTTGCAGGGCAGAACTTGTAGGGGAGAATAAGGTTTTACAAGGGAGAATGTGGCCTTATCCTAGGTTCACATTTACAAGGTTCTGTGTGTCACATTTGCACAGGCACAGCAGTCTATTCACTTGAATAGGTTGCTGTGACCGCATGAAAAGGTCCCAAAATGTCCATGCACAATGTGTTTCCGTTAAATGCACCTCCACACATTTTCTTAAGCAATGCATTTTGTGTGTGGTTGCAGCAATGCGTGCGATTTACAGATACTCAAGCACCCACTGTGTAAATAGTAATCATTAATAATCATTAGCTATTGCTTAATATTCTTAATGACCTTTCCAACACCTTACGCAAGAGTTCCTTTAATGTATTTACTTGTTCTCTTCTGCTGCTGTTTATTATTATTGAAGAGAATACAAAGCAGTATACCATGGCTGCAATTTCCTGAGTCAGAACACACTGTCTGAATAGCAGGAAATAACAGAGATCTGAAATAACATGTTCCATCAGTATTTGTACTAGGTAATGAATGCACTACGGCACAGACAAGTCCCGCCTGGATTATTTTAATACTAGCATTGGCATGACATTTTGCTAGCTGCTTTTCCATTAGCAGCAAGACCATTAGTGCTATTTAAATAAGTTCAGAGCTTCATGAAACTCGCAGCCCAGTGAACACAGTGCATGGCTAGCATGTCATACTAACTATACACAGGACTGTTGGCAATATAAATTACTACTCCAGGCTTAATATTGTGAATGTGCAGATACTAACAATGCTGATTAACATATTTGATCAAATTTTATTTTCTGGGGTGTTTTTTTCTTAAAGGCAAAGGTTACATGTTACATGATACCTCCCTCATCCCTCCCTCCCTGTGACAGCAGGTGGGGATTCTGATCCCCACACCCGCTGTCAGTTTTTAAAAAACCGTGAGGCTGTGAGGGGTTCTGCCCACACAGTCACAACATTCAGATTTCTGCGAATAAATAAACTAATGGTACCATCTCCCACCATGGCAGATGGCTTGTACTTCTCTATTGGCTGCGGGGGGGCTTGCTGATGAGCTCTCTTGTAGTCCTCTGACAAGCCCTCCAGCTTTCAAACAGAAAGAGAAAGCCTGTATGGAATTACTGATCACGGTGCAAGGAATTCCATGCTCCAGCAGGAAAAATTAAAAAAAGGGAATTTTTTTCTGCATTAAAAAAAAAAAAAAAAAAAATGAATGTGCTGAAGCAACCAAGAAATATAAGACCTCTATATTGGAATAATGAGAGACTTGCTGAACTACAAGAGTTAATTTCTAAGGATCACAGCAAAAAACATAAGGATGCACAAAAAAAAAAAAAAAAATCTTTTGACATTTGATTTAAAAGTAATATTTTAATTATAAATGGAGCCTGGTGGGCCAAGTTGGCCTCTTGTAGCTTATATATCCTGAAAAGGTCAACGGTGAGATCTCCCCATCATGACAAACTCTTTTCATGTGCACCTGCAATTTAATTTGGTTTAAAGTACAACTAAAGGCAAAACTTTTATTTTATTTAGGATAGGGTAGAGAGGAATCAGAACACCTGTTGGGATTTTATTGCCGTTTGTATCCCTGTTAGGGAGAATTCATTCCATTTGTCCTGTTTACTGTCATCATGGAGAGTGAAACTGAAAGAAAATCCCACATTTTTGGGTTGTTACCAGAACAGAAATAGTGGGGAAATCTTCCCATGGGAACACTAATTCTGATGGCCTTAGTGACAACCTGGGATTTCCTCACTTTGGATGGATTTCCTCTACGTTCCTGTTTTGGATATGAGACAGGAAATAAAGGCAAAATCTCCCTAGTGGCAAAAGCAACTGACAGGGCTTATAACTCTTCCTTGCTGTATTCAAAATAAAATAAAATTAACTAGTTAAAAAAATGAAAAAGAAAAAAAAAAAAGGCATTTGTTTTAGTTTTGCTTTAAGGCCTTGTTCAGACAGGCGGTAGCTTTTGCAGCCCCACCATGTACCATTTTTTCCAGAGGAAGTTGTCCGGCATCTAGAAGGCCACATGTTGCCTCCTCGACAACTTTTTTTCAACCCTGAAAAGGCCAAATCATGGCCCAATTCACTTTAATGGGTTGTGACAGGTGGTATAATTTTTGCTTCAATCATGCAATGTTCTTTAGCTGGGCAGTAAAACCAGGGCTCAACCGCCTGTTTTTCCTGCTCCATGGCCACACGTACCAACGAGCCCTGAGAGTTGGATCAGCTCATATTGGCAGAGCAAGTGTGCAGACCTAGGATCACAGATATCTAACCATTGTCCCTGAACAAGAAAAAAATAATTAGGAGATTTAACTCACCAGCATCTACCTAAACTGAGTCCTCGGTTTTGGGTGGACTGACCCTTAAAAGAAAAAAAAGATTCTGCTAAAAAAATGTATCCCTTATTTTAGATATAGGAGGAGATTTAAAACAACTTTCAGGGTCTAATTGATGTCTGTGTCCCATTTTCCCAATGAGAGTGGTCACTAGGTAGAAAAAGAGGGGAAGAGTTCTCCAACCCGGGCATCTAATAATGTAACTACAGCCACAGCAGACTATGCAACTGCTATGGAGCCCTACAGCAAAACAGGTATACAACGGTCTGGCTACATGGTGGTCTTCACAGACATAAAAATTGTGAACATTTGTTATTTGATACAAGTAGTTTTGGAGCCTCTATGCTTTTTCTATAAAAGCTATTACTATTCTGTATTACTAACCTGTGGACCATTTGGGAGATGGGAGCTTGTTAATAGATTTGCTATAGGGCCCCATTACACTCTACAGCCCTGCAGACATGCACCTACCTTATACAAAACTAAAAAGGATTTCTGGAGTTCTATAGTAATAGTAATGCTATCAAAAACTTACCCCTAATTTCAGTATGCAAAAAAATTATTTTTTCGCTCTACTAAAAAATTTAAATAATTCATCTGTGTCATGGCATTAGTGCTTGAGTTGTTGACTGAATTCCTCTAAATTCTTGTAAGCAGCTCACTGCTTCTCCAAAAAATGTTAGCCTCGGTTCACACTAATGCAATGTAATTTTGGCACGATTTTCAGTGTGATTATGTGCAACTTTGATGCGACTTGGCTACCTTTTTGCATAACATATGAGGCCAAGTCAAAATCTAAGTGGTACAGAAACCTCTTCCAAAATTGCACCATGCTGAGTTACACTGATGTGATCGGACACCATTGATAATAACGTGATTTCCCTTGTCATGCGATTCTGTGCCACTCAAGTTGCATCACAAATTGCATTAGTGTGACAGGATTCTTATTCAGAGCTGGAGGAAAACAATAGTTACCTGGTAACTACATTTCCATGAATCTTTCAGGACAGAACATGAGAAAGAGGCTCCACTTACCTAAAACAGGAAACACGTCATCCCACAATCCAAATAAAAACAGCACAGTCACCTAGTGCCC